TTGTAGCAGTGAATTCTCATATCAGGAAAACAGAATGAGCCCACATGACTAAGCTACACCTCAGTCTTCTTAAAAAAGAAGAGCAAGTCAAGCCTAAAGCCCATGAAGGGAATAAATTATAAAGATCAGAGTAGAAATTGAATGCAGTGGAGATTAACAATGCAACTATTAAGGAATCAAAAAATTGGTTCTTTGAAAGAATAAGTAAAATTGATAAACCCCTAGCCAAACATCAAAAACAAAAAGCAAAACTCAAATTCATGCAATAAAGAATTAAAAGAGTGAAATCATTACAGATCCTATAGAAATTCAGATCATCAGTACCTACTTGCAAATCTTTACTCATAGGATGAAAAACAAAGAAATTGACAGATTCCTAGATACATGTGACTTACCAAACTGAATCAAGAAGATAAATTCCTAATTAACCCAATTTCAGTCAAATTGAAAATGTAGTCAAAATTATAAGCAAAGGCAAGCCCAGATCCTGATGGATTCCTGCAAGAAATTTAGATAAGATTTAATCCCAATATCCCTCAAATTCTTCAATGAAATTGAAAGGGAAGCAATTCTCCCAAAATCATTCCTGGAAGCAAGTATTACTGTCATAGCAAAACCAAAGAAAGACCCGACCATAAAAAAGACAACTATAGGCCAGTCTCCCTAATGAACATAGATGCAAAAATCCTCAATAAAATACTAGCAAATAGAATGGAACGGGTCTTTATACATCATGACCAAGTGGGATTTATCCCAGGAATGCACAGATAATAACTGCAGTACACCATATCAACAGAGCCAAAGACAAAATTTGCATGATCATCTTGATAGTAGAAAAGGCTTTTGGTAAAGTTCAACACTCATACATGATAAAAACTCCACAGAGGGCCAGCAAGATAGCCCAATGGACAAAACGCCTGCTTTGGCAAGCTCAGGAGCCAGGGTTTGATCCCTGGTCCCACATGCCATGCTGGCCGCACCCTTAGGGGTGCTGAGTTGGTGAATGAGTCTGGTGGTGATAGCACATGCCTGTAATCCCAGCACTGGGGAGGCTGAAAACAGGAGGATCACTATGAGTTGATCTGTGTAGTGAGACCCTGTACCAAATATACAAATGAAAAACTAAACACAAAATTGGTATAGATGGTCTTTTACCTCAGTCTGATAAAAACTATGGCTGAAAATCAACAGCCAACATCATACTAAGTAAAGAAAAAAAGTGTTAATTGTAAATTCAGGAATAAGACAAGGATGTCCACTGTTATTGCTTCTATTCAACATAGTTCTGGAAACATTAGCCAGATCAATTAGGTGAGAGAAATAAAAATAATGGCAGGAAATCAAGAAATTAAATTACTGTTATTTGCAGGTGATATGATACTATACATAGAAGACCCCCAAAGCGCCACCAAAAGACTTGTAGATTTAATAACTAAATTCAGTAGTGTAGCTGGATAGAAAGTCAGGATTCAAAAACCAATAGCATTACTGTACACAAACTCAGAGAAACCACACTTTGTAATAACATCCAAGAAAATGGAATACTTCCATCTAACAACAGAAGTAAAAGACCTATACAGTGAAAATTACAATACTCTGAAAAAAGATTGAAGTGGATTTAGAAAATGGAAAGATATTCCTTGCTCATGGGTAGAACAAACATTGGGAAAATTGCTATACTTCAAAAATTGCTGTACACATCTAAAGCCATTCCAATCAAAATACCTTTGGTATATTTACAAATGTGGCATTCCTAAAATTCATCTGGATACCACAAGAGACCTAGCATAGCAAAATCAATCCTGGGAAACAAAAGGCAGAAAGCATTATAATCCCTGACTTGAAATCATACTACAAAGCTACTGTGATAAAATCAGCATGGTACTGGCAAAAAGGGAAAAAACAGACAACAATAACAAAAAACAGATCTGAGGATCAATGGAACGGATCAACAAATGCAGACACCACTAAAAATATACTCAGACACCTTTGAGAAACTGGCTGAAAAGCAAAGAAAAACTGAGATGAAGGAAAGCAGACAAAAAAAGGAAAGGGCAAATATAAAAGCGAATTTTCCTGCTAATTTCTTTTTGGTTTATTGTAGAGAACTGTTAATGCTTAGGGTTTTTTAAAAAAAAAAAAAATTTATTCTAATGCTTAGTATTTTTGACCAGTTTTGTATGCTTATATCTGGTAATCTGAACAACAACTTTGAAGATAACAATATGCATTGTAAAATCTATTGTTGATTTCCTGTAGTCTTATTTTGAAATTCTGATGGATGGATGGATGGATGGATGGATGGATGTATGGATGGATGGATGGATGGATGGATGGATGGATGGATGGATGGATTGTGCCAGGGATCAAACTCTGGACTTTGCATTTGCCAGGCAGTAATTCTGTATCTTTTAAATTTTTAAAAAACTTTTTCTTTTTAAAATAAAAAAGTTTCTCTACAATACTGTATTGTTCATTCTTCTTAATCCATTCTTTCAGTCAGTCTGTTTCTTTTTTTTTTTTTTTGCGGGGGGTGGTCACTCAAGATACCTTCAGGGCAGGTCTGGTTTGGCTTGAGGATGAGGGGATCTAACCACAGCATCCTGAGCCTGACTGCTTTGTTTCAGCAGGCACTTAAATGCCTGAGCTAATGGGCAGGCCCCCTAGTCTGTTTCTTTTGATTGGTGAGTAGACTTTACATTGGTGCTTATAACTGATACATATTGATTTATCCTTGTCACATTAACTTCTTTTTATCTGTTCACTTTGTTTCGTATTTAATTGCTCGCCTTTTCTAGTGGATTCTTTCTTTTGGGACTCATGGAATTGTTATTGTGTTTTCCTGGAATATCCTTCAAAACTTTTTGGAGTGTTTGTTTGATGGTCCTGAGTTTCTTCAGGTGTTATTTATTATTATTTTTTTCTGTATTTGGTACAGGGTCTCACTATGCAGCTTGGACTTGTAGTGATCCTCCTGTTTTTAGCCTCCTCAGTGCTGGGATTACAGGCATGCACAACCAGCCCAGACTTGGTGGCCGGCTCAGTGCACCCGGGGCTTAGGCCAGCATGGAATGTGGTGTCAGGGATTGAACCCTGATTCTTGTGCTTGCCTAAGCAGGCACTTAGTCCGCTGAGCTATCTTGCCAGCCCTGTTATTTGTTAATGTAATATCTTATTTCTCCATCAATCTTTACATCATGTATTAATTGTTGGATTGATATTTTGTGGGCATTTGCTGTTTTTAAGAAGTGTTTCATGTGCCAACCTTGGTGGTGCATTTCTGTAATCCCAACAGTTGGGAGGCTGAGGCAGGATGATTGCTATGAGTTCAAGGCCAGCCTTAGCCTACACTACATGGTGTCACTTGGTCTCAACCCCAAAAAACAAACAACAAACAAAAGTCTCTCATGTGGTGTTTAACTGTAAACCTGTTTTGTAGATCTAATATTTGGTTTTCACATTGCCTAATTTTGCAGCATATACTTTCACTATTATTTACCATCTGCTATATCTGTTTTATGCATTAGTTATTTCCTATGTTGTACATTTCTTTCATCATTTCCCTAAGTTTCTCTGTTTTTTAAAATGTTTATCTCTTGTAGAGTTACTGTCTTCATCTTGTTCATAATCACTTAGTAAACTGCACTTATTTCTGATTTGATTTATTCTAAGAGCTCATTCATTTGATTTTCTATTTCTGCTACCATTTTATTTTATTTTTTATTTTTTAAATTTTTTTTGGCAGAACCAGGGATTGAACTCAGGCCCTTGTGCTTGCCAGGGAAGTGCTTATTCCACTGAGCCATCTTCCCGGCCCCTTCTGCTACCATTTTAGAAAGTCCAGCTTGGTAGCTCAATCCCATTGGTTTTGCCTTAGTGAGCAAGAGGTATGGGGTTGTATCTTCTGTCTTTTCTCATTTTCTATTTTTTGTTTTCTCTGTTGATGTTTCTAAATTTTTTGTGGTAGGTAGCTTTATTACTATTAGAAAGACCTCTTAGGAAATGATTACTCTTCAGTAAAGTTACCTAAACAAAGTTGTCTTTGGCTTGTGAGTCTATCCTGAGATCCTGTTCTTTGAATTTTTAGGGATTAAAAGTGGGTGTCTTTTTGGCCTAGCAACATATTCTTTGCATTAGATTATGGTATTGTTTATGACCAGTAGACAGTGTTCATTTGCACACAGACTAGCAAAAGTGATCTCAACAACTGTTATTTTTCTAACGTAGTAAGGCCAGTAATAATTATAACATGGAGCACAGTCCAGAAAATGAAAAATTATGATAACTGTTAATTTGCCAATTTTAACCATAGGTGCAAGCTTAATCATTAAATAAAAAAGTATAAAACCAGTAAGAAAATTACATATAGTAAAAATGTTCTTAATAAATTGATTTTACCCTTGGGAAGCAATTTATTAGGAATGAGAAGAAAAAAAAACAAATGAAACAAGTTAATGGAAGCAAGGCTGAAGGGCAAAGGAAGATTATTCAAGTAAACAGCAAAACTAGGAGACAGAATGAGATTGTACTGGTCTGAAGTCTATTTTTTGGTTCTAATCTACCTCATCCTTATCACTTTTTAGTCCTCAGATAGCTGCTGTTACATGTATTCCATACAGCATTTTTTTTTTTTTTGTTATAATCAGTGGAAGGAACAGATAATATTGCTTCTGCCAAAGTTTGCTTGATGGTGGAGGCAAATTTAATTCTTCCCTTATGCTGAGCATTGCTGAAAATATTATGTGCATTTTAATGCATTTAATACAACTATGAATACAACTATGACATTGACTATTGTTATCTTCATTTTGTATTTTTAGAAAGTAATATGTTATAAAGTTAAGGAATGTCTAAGAATGATTCAGCTAGGCAACCATGTAAGTGGGAATTGTAATCTAATGTAACTCTTTGTAGAGTCCCAGTAAAGTTCTGGTACCATCATGCATATTCTGAGCTCATTTCTTGGAAAACCCATCTGCCTTCTTCTGTGACTTCTACAGGATATGGACTGCATTGGAAGGACCCTGAGAGACCCTCAAGCCATGAAGTGGAGATAGTGACTTTTGAGGATGTGGCTGTGACTTTCACCATGGAAGAGTGGACTTTGCTGAATCCATCTCAAAAGAACCTCTATAGAGAGGTGATGTGGGTAACTTTTCTGAACATGGCTTCTATAGGAACAACATGGGATAAGAATATTGACATGGCATACAAAAATTGGTGGCAAAATATAAGGAATGAAGAGGTAGAGAAATGCTATGAATACAAAGCTTGGAATCAACATGAAGATATATTACTTGAGACTCCAGATGCTAATGGGAACATGGAAGAAACTGATTTAAAATCATCTGAAAGCTTTGTTTGTACAGAGTCCCTGATTGGTCATTCATTGCCAAACATTCCCATTATAGCTCACGTTAGACACAAAATATGTGAGTATGAGGAATTTGAAGAGAATTTGTCTAAATGTAATGAACCTGGGAACACCTGCAGTGATTCTAAGTCCTTTTCAAAGCAAGGAAGGAAAAAGGCTGTAGAGAAACCCTACAAATATGAGCATTATGGGAAACCCTACTCTGGTCTTGGTGAAAATACTCACCCTGAAATGACCTCTGTATGTAAGAAAAACGTGGAACTTTCTAATGTAGCCAGTGACATTCATATCCATGAAAGTAGTGAGAATGGGAGGAATTCATATATATGTAAACAACCTGGTGAAACATTCACTACCTTTTGTCAAAGACAAAATCACTCTAAAGAAAAACCCTATGAATGTAAGCATTGTGGGAAATTTTTCACTGGAACCAAATATTTGAAAGTACATGAAAGAATTCATACTGGGGATAAACTCTATGTATGTCAACAATGTGGGAAAGCATTCACTACGTCAAAATATTGGAAAACACATGAAAGAGTTCATACTGGGGAAAAAACCTATGTATGTAAGCAGTGTGGGAAAGTATTCAGTACGCACAATAGTTGTCAAAGACATGAACGAATTCACACTGGGGAGAAACCCTATGAATGTAACCAATGTGAGAAAGCATTCAGTACTTACAGTTATTGGAAAATACATGAAAGAAGTCATACTGGCGAGAAACCCTATGAATGCAAGCAATGTGGAAAAGCATTCTCTTCACATAGCTCCTGTAAAAGACATGAACGAAGTCATACTAGAGGGAAACCCTATGAATGTAAGCAATGTGGGAAAGCCTTCACTACACTCTCTCATGGGAAAATACACGAAAGAAGTCACACTGGGGAGAAACCCTATGAATGTAAGCAGTGTGGGAAAGCATTTTCCTCACACAGCTATCGTAAAAGACATGAAAGAATTCACACTGGGGAAAAATCCTATGAATGTAAACAATGTGGGAAATCATTCACTACACTCTATCGTGGGAAAATTCATGAAAGAAGTCACACTGGGGAGAAACCCTATGAATGTAAGCAGTGTGGGAAAGCATTCAGTACACACAGGTATTGTAAAATACATGAAAGAAGTCACACTGGGGAGAAACCCTATGAATGTAACCAATGTGGAAAAGGATTCACCACCCACAGTTGTTTTAAAATACATTTAAGAATTCACACTGGGGAGAAACCCTTTGAATGTAACCAATGTCAGAAAGCATTTAGTACCCTCAATTATTTGAAAGTGCATGAAAGAATTCACACTGGAGAGAAACCCTATAAATGTAACCAATGTGGAAAAGCATTCACTACACACAGCTGTTTTAAAATGCATAAAAGAATTCACACTGGGGAGAAACCCTATAAATGTAACCAATGTGAGAAAGCATTCACTACACTTGAGTATTGGAAGATACATGAAAGAATTCACACTGGTGAGAAACCATATGAATGTAAGAAATGTGGTAAAGCATTTATTGCTCACAACACTTGTAAAAGACATGAAAGAATTCACACTGGGGAGAAACCCTATGTATGTAAGCAATGTGGGAAAGCATTCACTACACATAGTTGTTTTAAAATACATGAAAGAATTCATACTGGGGAGAAACCTTATGAATGTAAACAATGTGGGAAAGCATTCAGTACTCACAACAGTTGCAAAATACATGAAATAAATCACATTGGAGAGAAACCCTATGTATGTTACTAAAATGGAAGAACAT